AGGCAACAGTAGGATGGCCCCACTTCCAGCAGCACTGGCAGAGCGGGACCCCGGTGTGTCGTGCAGCAGGCCTGATTGTGCAGGACTGCCCGGCAAGGAAGATCGGTTGGCCAAGGGCCTTCTTGGCGCGGGTTCCCTGCTGGGAGTCCCAAATATTGCAATAGACTGTGCACGATGTCGAGTGCGCCGAATTGCGGTCGATCTGAGGCTTGGTGCTCAGATATGCGAAGACCTCAGCGTGAACCGAGGTACGGACGACACCTCTTTCTCTCGAATGCCCACTTGCCAACAAGTGTAAACAACCAGCTCATCGTCTCTTTCGTCGTCCAATGCTTTATCGCCTCGTCAGACCTCATCACCTGATCATTTGTACTGCACAAGCAACACATGTCCGACCTCCCACCGAGAGGTTGGGGTGCGAGGCCCCCTGGGGCAGTTCCTAGAAGCCGTCGTAGGGGGGACTCAGGCTCCGCACCACCAGCAATACCACCATCGGTTGCTGGCTCATCGCCCCTGGGCGGTGATGCCTCACCAATCTCGCCAGACCCTACCTCGACTAGGGCCACATACTCGACAGTTGTGCCGTCTCGATCTCGCCACACGTTGCCCTGCCGCAGGTCCCGTTCCACCACGGGTTCCGCCCATTCGTCCACAGATGAGTCTGACTCAGGGATGGCCCACCCCCAGGAGATGGAGGTTGAGGGCACTCAGGGAGGGGAGGAGGTCTCGAGGGACCCCTCCGTCGACCTACTCTTAGGTCAATACGCCTTGAAGTTCCAAGACACAGTCGAGGATCTTCCTGGCGATCTCGAGGTATTGACCACCTCCATTGCGAAGGCCACAGACTGGGTTCTGCGGGCCGCGCACCACAATCCGCTCACCATCGATGGGGGTGATGCCTTTGTGGCCCAGATGACGTCCTTTGTGAATGCCGTCATGGCCACTGACTTTAGTCATATTTGCGGGCCAGGCGAACTCGACAACTTCTCACTCGCCTCTCTCCTCGAGGCTGAGACGTCTTCTAAGGACGAGCTGACCATCCACCCGGCTCCTGTATTCAGGTCTCCTCCTCCTGCTGCCTGTGGGCCGCTCGATGAGGGTGTCGCTGGTGTAGGGGCTCCACCCAATGTCCTCATGCAGGCTTTGGACAACCTTGGTCGCCCAGCCTCCCCACCTCGCATCCCCGCTTCCAAGAAGCGTAAGGGTGTCGATCGTCCGGTACCACCTCCTCCTCAGAAGAAGAGCAAGGTGGCCTACTCTCGCCCTGGTCTGCCCCTGCCGATCAATCGCGCTACTAAACCCAAGCCCCGTCCAACAACGTGGGCAGGGATTGCATGACAGGCCGCTTTGATGCCTCCCCCGCCTCCTGGCTTGGGACCGCAGCGTTGCGGGCCTTCTCCTCCTCCCCCGCATTTTTTTTTTTTTTTTTTTTTTGATCAACAATTTATATAGCGGTGCTCAATGGCAGCCCGCTCGCTATCTACAAACACGTACACTACGCGGCCTGGGTACTAAGTAAAAAAGATCCGCCCCCCCAACCGCGAGCCTTATGGCTCAAACGCCGAAGCTCCCATAAAGCCAGACCCACCTCGCGAAAACGGTGACGCGGGATAAGGGGAAGAGACCATCGAGGCCCTGCTAAACCCCAAAATCGTCGGACACTGTTCGGAGGCCCCGCAACGCAAATGAAATAAGAATTGCACCACCCGGGAGGTGGCAGGGTGTCTTGAGGCCGACAAGCCAGAGAAGCGCCTGCCCGAAACCAGAAGCAGAAAGTTAGCGGCGCTGCAATCCACTATAATAGCGGCCGCAAGCGCAAAGAAATAGCGGCAGGCGCAGGTCTTCGAACCCGAGGGCTCGGTGGTGTCAATTCACCATAAATCCCCCAAAAGGAGGAACAACCCCGCCCACAGCGATTATCCGACACCCAAGGGGTCTCGGTTGAAGCCAAATGCCGTGGGGTTATACTTCATAAAGGATGCAATATCCCCAAGAAAGTGGGGGTAATGCACGGAGTAGCGATCGTGACAGCGAAAGAGGACGTGCTGGCAAGACTGCAAAGCAGCCCCGCAAGTGCAGCCGTGAGGCTCATTGATCTTGAAGCGACGGTAATACGCTCCAATGGGCGCATGGCCAGTTATACACCGGCAAACGCAGGCGAACTCAGTGATACTGTGTCCGAAGGTTGAGAGCCAAGGTCCCCCATTGAGGTACGATGGCTGTAGCGGCTGCCCATCAGGCTGTTGAAGCTCTAAGAATTCAGAGCCTCGGTAGGTTGGATCCTGGAAAGTGGAGCTCCACGAATCCAGGACTGAGTGCGCCGCTTGAGAGCGTAGCGTGTCTATAGAGTTGTCCGTCTTACGACGTCCAACCCTGACTTTGAGCTCGGTGATGTACTTGTGTGCTTCACCATGGATGTCCCACCGCAGAGCGGATGGGACATAGACGAAGGTAATGCAGCGGAGATCATCCGCCTCAAACCACTCTTGAAGAGCGCGACAAACTGACAGGCTAAAAGCCTGACCAGAATGCGGTCAACCGCTCTATGGGCCGAGCCCATAGAGTCAGTAAAGACCATAATATGTTGGCAGTTTGCCTGCTTGACAGCAAGGCGTACTGCACACGAGATGGCATTGAGTTCCGCATCAGGGGCAGTAACTCTGCCAGAGACATAGCGAGTCCTTTCCAGCTCGCAATGTCCCTTGTAGATGATGGCAGCCGAAGTCGCCTGATACTGGTTGGACTGATTGCAGCCAGTACTGTTAGTGGGTCGGCTCTCACTCTCGCGATGAGCTTGTCTAGATATGGGCGCCTATCCTGGGCAGGATCGCGCTCATCAAAGTGGAGACGGTCCGCATAGCAGGTCCTCCCCCTGCATTCCCAACTGGCCTGATGAAGACTTCTCCTCATCGGTCCATTCCTTCTTTCACTTCTGAGGGCCCCACCTGGAAGCAGGTTCTCGTGTCGTTCAGGGGTACCCCACCTGACCTCACGAAAATTTTCACTGAGTCGGCTGTCCATGCGGCCAACGGGTACCCCGTTCGAGGTTGTGCTCCCATCATCGACGTCTTTCATAAAGATACTCGATGTTCCTTACTTCGATCTGAAAGGGTTGAAGATCACCCAGGAGGCGCTTGAAAAGGCCCTCCGTACCTCAGTTCACGCTGAGGTCTTCGCATATCTGAGCACCAAGCCTCGGATCGACCGCAATTCGGCGCACTCGACATCGTGCACTGTCTATTGCAATATTTGGGACTCCCAGCAGGGAACCAGTGCCAAGAAGGCCCTTGGCCAACCGATCTTCCTTGCCGGGCAGTCCTGCACAATCAGGCCAGCTGCGTGACACACCGGGGTCCCGCTCTGCCAGTGCTGCTGGAAGTGGGGCCATCCTACTGTTGCCTGCAAGGTGAAACAGCTCTCTTGCCCTATCTGTTCGGGTCCGCACGAGCAGAAGGAGCATCGTCAACATGCGGGATGCTGCAAGGGCAATGCAAAAGCGAAACGCCCTGTGCCGCCCACCCCTTGCGACCAGCCCTGCCCCCACAAGGGCCGCTGTGTCAATTGCCACAAGGACCATGCTGCCAACTTGGCTTTGTGCAAGTTCTGGGCCCATTGCTATGACCGTGAGTGGATCATGGCCGAGTATCATCAGGTATGTGAGCACACTGCTTGCCGCCAACTTACTAACCCCTGAACCTAGACTAATGTTGGGAAACCTTCAGGATCTAAGTAGTGGGCTTCGTATTTACTGTCAGAACGTTCGTCATACCTATGCACACGTAGACACCCTTCTCGAAATTTGTAAAAACAGATTTGATATTTTATTCTTCCAAGAAACCCCTTGGAATTTCATAAGGCATGCACCGTCCACCACTAGTATGGAGGGCGATGAGGTTATCGGCACACCTAAGCATCCAGACTGGCTGCAGATGGTGCACATTAAGGAAGGGGAAGTTCCCCACATGATCGCCTATGTTTCGACTAGGCTCTCCCGCTATCGCCCCACTATGCGCCGTGACATCATCAACCATCGCGACATCCTTGTCCTCTCCCTCTTCAGCGGGGGTGAGGTTCTCAACCTTATGAACATCTATTCTGATGATCAGCACACAGCCATTGAGCACCTCACTGCTTGTGTGCATTCTTTAACACCTTTCATCTATATGGCTGGTGACTTCAATTGCGTGTTGACGACTTGGGATGACTATGAGCATGGCGAGTCGTCGATGGCAATATCCCTGCGGGACACCGCATCTCAGATCAGCCTTGAGTGGGCACGACCTTCCAACCATGGACCGACTCGGATCAGTCCTAATCCAAACCAGAGATCCAACGTCTTGGATCTTGTATTCTTAGCTCCATCTGAGATCTTAATCTCCATGCCCAGATTGGAGCACGATCTCCAGGGTCTGTCAGATCATGTCCCGATCTGCACAGATCTTGATCTTTTTTTTTTTTTTTTTTTTATCAACAATTTATATAGCGGTGCTCGATGGCAGCCCGCTCGCTATCTACAAACACGTACGCTACACAGCCTGGTTACTAAGTTAACCACTAAAGGATGTCCGCCCCCCCAACCATGAGCCTTATGGCTCAAACGCCTAAACTCCCATAAAGCCAGACCCACCTCGCGAAAACGGTGACGCAGGATAAGGGGAGGAGACCATCGAGGCCCCGCTAAACCCCAGAGCCATCGGACGCTGTTCGGAGGCCACGCAGCGCAAATGAGATAAAACAGCACCACCCGGGAGGTGGCAGGGTGTCTTGAGGCCGACAAGCCAGAGAAGCGCCTGCCCGAAACCAGACGCAGAGAGTTAGCGGCACCGTGACCCGCTACAATAGCGGCCGCAAGTGTGAAGGAATAGCGGTAGGCGCAGGTCTTCGAACCCTAGAGCTCGGTGGTGTCAATTCACCATAAATCCTCCGAAAGGAGGAACAACCCCGCCCACAGCGATTATCCGACCCCCGAAGGGTCCCGGGTGAAGCCAAACGCTGTAGGGTTGTACTTCATAAAAGCTGCAATGTCCCCGAGGAGCGCACAGATCTTGATATTGGTCCCAAACCGCCTGGATCTGGGCGACGGACAATTAAACCTGGAAGCGAGGCTGAAAAGTCTTTCATTTCGGATATCCTCCGGGATCTTGCAGCTATTCCTGTCGCAGCCCCAGCAACCAAGGAAGGCGTTGAAGCCTTAGCCAATGCTATCGCGACAGCGTTCTTGGATGCTTGGCTTGCCCATTTGACCGAGTCCAAACCTACCAAGCACTCCAAGTCCTGGTGGACGGACGAGTGCTCAGAGGCATTCGGAGTATATCAGTTGAGCCGCTCGCTCGCTGATTACAACAAGTTTAAGAAGGCATGTAAGGATGCCAAGGATGATTTCTTTGATGAATGCATCGCAGAAATTGCTACCTCTCGCAAGCGCCCATGGGACCTGATGGAATGGGTCAAACAGCGCAAGCTACCACCCTGTGAGGCTATTCGCGATGGCAACCAGCCTTGCCACAATATGGACGACCTATGGGACACCCTTCACAGCATGTACAATTTGGCCTCTGGTCGCGAGTACGACGCCTCAGTCTTAGATGAGCTTCCTGACGAGCCAGTCCGTGAGTGGGCTGACTTTTTGGAGCATGAGTTGTTGAGTGCCCTCAAGGGGTGTTCCAACTCCTCTGCACCAGGACCGGACCATGTTACATGGGTCCACCTAAAGGAGTTGCTCAAGGATAAACACGTCCTTGCGCTCTTCATCGTGCTGGCCAACGCTTGCCTTCGGGTGGGTCATTGGCCACGTATATTTAAGGAGTCGCTATCGGTTATCGTTCTGAAGCCGAATAAGCCCTCCTCGCTGTTCCGAAGGCCTTCAGCCCGATCGTACTCCTCATCACTTTCAGTAAACTTATCGAAAAGATGATCAATAGGATACAGTTTGATGCTGTCAAGCATGATATCTTCCATCCCAACCAACTTGGCAGCATCCGCCAGAGGTCAACTGAGGATGCTGGATTGATTCTGACTCATCTCATGCGAGCAGGGTGGGTTAAGGGTCTCCAGACTAGCGCGCTGGCTTTTGACATCACGCAGTTCTTCCCTTCTATCAACCATGAGATGTTCATGGCTGTACTTCGCAAGCAAGGGTTCTCACCAGTTCTGGTGGAGTTCTTTGCCTCTTATCTTGTTGGACGTTCCACAGTTTACTGTTGGAACACCTTCCAATCCAACTCGCGGTCTGCGGACGTGGGCGTCAGGCAGGGCTCAGCTCTATCACCTGTTATCTATGGGCTGTTCATTGCTCCGGTAATGAAGCTCTTCTATATCAAGGCGGCGCCGCTCAACACAATGCTGCTTTCCTTTGTGGATGACGGGACCATCCCGGCTCAATCCAAACAACTCGATGATAATAATGTGGGCCTGCGTAAGGCCTACAAGATTATCTACCTGCTCTTTGTTGCTTTCGCGCTCGTTCTTGAACACAACAAGACCGAGTTGTTCCACTTTTCGTGTCGACGAGACGCCTACAATCCCTCGCTGGATTTGGGGTACGCCCCACATACCGGTGTTACACCCTTGAAGCCCAAGACCTATTGGAGGTACTTGGGCTTCTACTTTGACCGCGGGCTCACGTTCCATGAGCATGTTCGCTACTATGCCACCAAGGTGTTTACCACTGTGCAGGCCATGCGCATGCTCAGGAACTCCACTAGAGGTCTTTCGCCTAAACAGCGCCGACTCCTATATTGGTCGTGTGTGGTCCCCATTGCCACATACGGCTATCATCTATGGTATTTTGATGGCGCCCGCAATAAGGGCGCGATGAACCAGTTAAAACGGATGCAGCGAAAAGCTGCTCTATGGATCACAGGTGCTTTCCGCACCTCCCCCACAGGCAGTCTCGAGGCCCTCGCTGGCCTCATCCCTGTCCATCTTATGCTGAAGAAGCTGGCAACGTGCGCAGTGTACCGTGTTGCCACCCTCTCGGACACCCACCCTCTTTGCTCCATGATGGGCGAGGGACTCCTTAAGCGGGCTGCACCACACGCCCGCTCAGCCGCCTTGATGACCCCAGCTATGCAAGGGCAGGTCAAGAGCACTGTCATGGAGGTGGACGAGCGCGTCCACACCTTAACTGAGAGCTTTGAGCCCTTTGCGCCCAAAGCTCACCCAGGTGATCGGTTACTGGACCACTATGCGGACCGTCTCCACTTTGACGAGCGCGATCCTGCCCAGGATAGGCGACCATATCTAGATGAGCTCATCGCAAAAGCGAGGGCCAACCCTCTAACAGTACTGGCTGCAACTGATGGCTCTGTCCCTCAGTCCAACCAGTATCAGGCGGCTTCGGCAGCCATCATTTACAAGGGACATGGTGAGCTTGAAAGGACTTGTTATGTCTCTGGCAGAGTTACTGCCCCTGATGCAGAGCTCAATGCCATCTCGTGTGCAGTGCGCCTTGCTGTCAAGCAGGCAAACTGCCAGCATATGATGGTCTTTACTGACTTTTTTTTTTTTTTTTTTTTATCAACAACTTGTATAGCGGTGCTCGATGGCAGCCCACTCGCTATCTACAAACATGTACGCTACGCAGCCTGGGTACTAAGTAAACTACTAAAAGACATCTGCCCCCCCAACCACGAGCCTTATGGCTCAAACGCCTAAACTCCCATAAAGCCAGACCCACCTTGCGAAAACGGTGACTCGGGATAAGGGGAGGAGACCATCGAGGCCCCACTAAACCCCAAAGCCGTCAGACGCTGTTCAGAGGCCACGCAGTGCAAATGAGATAAGAGAGCACCACCCAGGAGGTGGCATGGTGTCTTGACGCCGACAAGCCAGAGAAGCGCCTGCCTGAAACCAGATGCAGAAAGTTAGCGGCGCCGCAGCCCGCTATCATAGCGGCCGCAAGTGCGAAAGAGTGAAGCTGGTCTGGGTCACTGAACCCTTAGGTTCGTGGTGTTAATTCACCCTAAATCCCCCAAAAGGAGGAATAACCCCACCTGCAATGATTACCTGACACCTGAAGGGTCCCAGTTGAAGCCAAACACTGTGGGGTTGTACTTCAGAAACGATGCAATATCCCTGAGGAAACGAGGATAATGTACAGAATATCTATTGCGACAGCAAAAGAGAATATGCTGACAGGACTGCAGAGCAGCCCCGCAAGTGCAGCCGTGAGGCTCATTGATCTTGAAGTGACGGTAATACGCTCCAATGGGCGTGTGGCCAGTTATACACCGGCAAACGCAGGTGAACTCAGTGATACTGTGTCCAAAGGTTGAAAGCCAAGGTCCCCCATTGAGGTACAATGGCTGTAGCGGCTGCCCATCAGGCTGTTGAAGCTCTAAGAATTCACAGCCTCGGTAGGTTGGATCCTGGAAAGTGGAGTTCCACAAATCCAGGACTGAGTGCGCGGCTCAGGAGCGTAGCGCGCCTATAGAGTTGTCCGTCTTGCGACGTCCAACCCTGACTTTAAGTTCGGTGACGTACTTGTGTGCCTCACCATGGATGTCCCACCACAAAGCGGATGGGACGTAGACGAAGGTAACGCGGCGGAGATCATCCGCCTCAAACCACTCTTGGAGAGCGCGACAAACTGACAAGCTAAAAGCCTGACCAGAGTGCACGCCAGGGTCGATCGCTCTATGGGCCGAGCCCATGGAGTCAGTAAAGACCATAATATGTTGGCAGTTTGCCTGCTTAACAGCCAGGCGCACTGCGCACAAGATGGCATTGAGTTCCGCATCTGGGGCAGTAACCCTGCCAGAGACATAACAAGTCCTTTCAAGCTCACCATGTCCCTTGTAGAGGATGGCAGCCGAAGTCGCCTGATACTGGTTGGACTGAGGGACAGAGCCATCAGTTGCAGCCAGTACTGTTAGTGGGTTGGCCCTCGCTTTCGCGATGAGCTGGTCGAGATAAGGGCGCCTATCCTGAGTAGGATCGCGCTCGTCAAAGTGGAGACGGTCTGCATAGCGGTCCAGTAACTGATCGCCTGGGCGAGCTTTGGGCGCAAAGGGCTCAAAGCTCTCAGTTAAGGTGTGGACGCGCTCGTCCACCTCCATGACAGTGCTCTTGACTTTCCCTCGCATGGCTGGGGTCATCAAGGCGGCTGAGCGAGCATGTGGTGCAGCCTGTTTGAGAAGCCCCTCACCCATCATGGAGCAAAGAGGGTGGGTGTCCGAGAGGGTGGCGATGCGATACACTGCACGCGTTGCCAGCTTCTTCAGCATAAGGTGGACAGGGATGAGACCCGCTAGAGCCTCAAGACCGCCGGTGGGGGAGGTGCAGAAAGCACCCGTAATCCACAGAGCAGCTTTTTGCTGCATCCGTTTTAACTGGTTCATTGTGCCCTTATTGCGGGCGCCATCAAAATACCATAGACGATAGCCATATGTCGCAATGGGAACCACACACGACCAATATAGAAGTCAGCGCTGTTTAGGCGAAAGACCTCTAATGGAGTTACCGAGCATGCGCACGGCCTGCACAGTGGTAAACGCCTTGGTGGCATAGTAGCGAACGTGCTCATGAAACGTGAGCCGCAGTCAAAGTAGAAGCCCAAGTACCTCCAATAGGTCTTGGGCTTCAAGGGTGTAACACCGGTATGTGGGGCGTACCCCAAATCCAGCGAGGGATTGTAGGTGTCTCGTCGACGCGAAAAGTGGAACAACTCGGTCTTGTCGTGTTCAAGAACGAGCGCAAAAGCAAGTCTTTACTGACTCTATGGGCCGAGCCCATAGAGCGGTCGACCCTTCCGTGCATTCTGGTCAGGCTTTTAGCTTGTCAGTTTGTCACGCTCTCCAAGAGTGGTTCGAAGCAGATGACCTCTGCCGCATCACCTTCATTTACGTCCTGTCCGCTCTGCAGTGGGATATCCATGGTGTGGCACATAAGTACATCACCGAGCTTAAAGTCAGGGTTGAACATCGGAAGACAGACAATTCTATAGATGCGCTTCGCTCTCGAGCTGCGCACTCAGTCCTGGACTCATGGGGTTCCACTTTCCAGTATCCAACTTATCGAGGCTCTGAATTTCTAGAGCTTCAACAGCCTGACGGGCGGCTGCTACAGCCATCATACCTCAATGGGGGACCTTGGCTTTCAACCTTTGGACACAGTGTCACTGAGTTCACTCACGTTTGCCGGTGTATAACTGGCCACGCGCCCATTGGAGCGTACTACCGACGCTTCAAAATCAATGAGCCTCACGGCTGCACTTGCAGGGCTGCTTTGCAGTCCTGTCAGCATATTCTCTTTTGCTGTCGCAATAGATATTCTGTACACTATCCTCGTTTCCTCAGGGATATTGCATCGTTTCTGAAGTACAACCCCACAGTGTTTGGCTTCAACTGGGACCCTTCAGGTGTCAGGTAATCGTTGCAGGTGGGGTTATTCCTCTTTTTGGGGGATTTAGGGTGAATTAACACCACGAACCTAAGGGTTCAGTGACCCAGACCAGCTTCACTCTTTCGCACTTGCGGCCACTATGATAGCGGGCTGCGGCGCCGCTAACTTTCTGCATCTGGTTTCAGGCAGGCGCTTCTCTGGCTTGTCGGCGTCAAGACACCATGCCACCTCCTGGGTGGTGCTGTTTTATCTCATTTGCGCTGCGTGGCCTCTGAACAGTGTCCGATGGCTTTGGGGTTTAGCGGGGCCTCAATGGTCTCTTCCCCTTATCCTGCATCACCGTTTTTGCAAGGTGGGTCTGGCTTTATGGGAGTTTAGGTGTTTGAGCCATAAGGCTCGTGGTTGGGGGGCGGACGTCTTTTAGTAGTTTACTTAGTACCCAGGCCGCATAGTGTACGTGTTTGTAGATAGTGAGCGGGCTGCTGTTGAGCACCGCTATATAAATTGTTGATCAAAAAAAAAAAAAAAAAAAAAAACTGAGGTACGGAGGGCCTTTTCAAGCGCCTCCTGGGTGATCTTCAACCCTTTTGGATCGAAGTAGGGAACATCGAGGATCTTTATGAAAGACATTGATGATGGGAGTGCAACCTCAAACGGGGTACCCGTAGGAAGGCTCTCGCAGATGAAGTTGTGCAGGATGTCCAAGTCGGATGGGCTGGCAACAGCTGGGGTGACCAACGACAACCCGTCGTAGGCGCGGACAATGGAGGTGACCTTCAACATAGATCAACCATCCCTGAGATACCCATTGGTTGCATGAACAGCCGACTCCGTGAAGATTTTTGTGAGGTCGGGTGGGGTACCCCCGAATGACACGAGAACCTGCTTCCAGGTGGGGGCCCTTGGAAGTGAAAGAAGGAACGGACCGATGAGTTGAAGTCTTCATCAGGCCCGTTGGGAATGCAGGGAGAGGAGGAGAAGGCCCGTGATGTTGCGGTCCCAAGCCAGGAGGCGGGGGAGGCATCGAAGCGGCCTGTTGTGTGATCCCTGCCCACGTTGTTGGACGGGGCTTGGGTTTGGTAGCGCGGTTGATTGGCGGAAGCGGACTAGGGCGAGAGTAGGCCACCTTACTCTTCTTCTGAGGAGGAGGTGGAACCGGACGATCAACACCCTTGCGCTTTTTGGAAGCGGGGATGTGAGACAGGGAGGCCGGGCGACCAAGGTCATCCAAAGCCTGCATGAGGACATCGGGCGGGGCCCCTACGCCAGCGACACCCTCATCGAGCGGCCCACAGGCAGCAGGAGGAGGAGGCCTGAATACAGGAGCCGGGTGGATGGTCAGCTTGTCCTTGGAAGACGTCTCAGCCTCGAGGAGAGAGGTGAGCGAGAAGTTATCGAGTTCGCCTGGCCCACGAATACGACTAAAGTCAGTGACCATGACGGCGTTCACGAAGGACGTCATCTGGGCCACAAAGGCATCACCCCCATCGATAGAGAGCAGATCATGGTGCACTGCCCGCAGAACCCAGTCTGTGGCCTTCGCAATGGAGGTGGTCAATACCTCGAGATCGCCAGGAAGATCCTCGACTGTGTCTTGGAACTTCAAGGCGTATTGACCTAAGAGTAGGTCGACGGAGGGGTCCCTCGAGACCTCCTCCCCTCCCTGAGTGCCCTCAACCTCCATCTCCTGGGGGTGGGCCGTCCCTGAGTCAGACTCATCTGCGGACGAATGGGTGGAACCTGTGGTGGAACGGGACCTGCGGCAGGGCGACGTGTGGCGAGATCGAGACGGCACAACTGTCGAGTATGTGGCCCTAGTCGAGGTAGGGTCCGGCGAGATTGGTGAGGCATCACCGCCCAGGGGCGATGAGCCAGCAACCGATGGTGGTATTGCTGGTGGTGCGGAGCCTGAGTCCCCCCCACGACGGCTTCTAGGAACCGCCCCAGGGGGCCTTGCACCCCAACCTCTTGGTGGGAGGTCAGACATGTGTTGCTGGTGCGGTACAAATGATCAGGCAATAAGGTCTGATGAGGCGATAAAGCGTTGGACGACGAAAGAGACGATGAGCTAGTTGTTTACGCTTGTTGACAAGTGGGTGTTCGAGAGAAAGAGGCGTTGAGGACCATCGAGCAGGCGTGTGGTTTGGCCTGTTTAAGGAGTCCCTCGCCCATCATGGAGCGGATAGGGTGAGTGTCTGAGAGGGTGGCAACGTGATACACTGTGCGCGTCACCAGCTTCTTCAGCATGAGATGAATGGGGATGAGACCAGTGAGGGCCTCAAGACCGCCTGTGGGTGAGGTGCGGAATGCACCCATGATCCATAGAGCAGCTTTCTGCTGCATCCGTTTTAGCTGGTTCATCGCGCCCTTATTGCGGGTGCCATCGAAATACCATAGACGATAACCATATGTGGCAATGGGAACTACACAGGATCTGTAGAGGAGGTGCTGCTGTTTAGGCGAGAGACCCCTGGTAGAGTTTCCGAACATGCGCATGGGCTGCACGGTGGTGAACGCCTTGGTGGCATAGTAGCGGACATGCTCATGGAATGTGAGCCCACGATCAAAGTAGAAGCCCAAGTACCTCCTTTTTTTTTTTTTTTTTTTTTTTGATCAACAACTTATACAGCGGTGCTCGATGGCAGGCCGCTCACTATCTACAAACACGTACGCTACGCGGCCTGGGTACTAAGTAAACTACTAAAAGACATCCGCCCCCCCAACCATGAGCCTTATGGCTCAAATGCCTAAACTCCCATAAAGCCAGACCCACCTCGCGAAAACGGTGACGCGGGATAAGGAGAGGAGACCATCGAGGCCCCGCTAAACCCCAGAGCTGTCGGACACTGTTTGGAGGCCACGCAGTGCAAATGAAATAAGAGAGCACCGCCCGGGAGGTGGCATGGTGTCGTGAGGCCGACAAGCCAGAGATGCGCCTGCCTGAAACCAGACGCAGAGAGTTAGCGGTGCCGCAACCCGCAATGATAGCGGCTGCAGGCACGAATAAGTGAAGCTGGCGCGGGTCGCCAAACCCTTAGGTTCGTGGTGTCACCCTAAATCCCCCAAAAGGAGGAATAACCCCGCCCGCAACAATTACCCGACACCTGAAGGGTCCCGGTTGAAGCCAAACACTGTGGGGTTGTACTTCATGAAAGATGCAATATCCCCAAGAAAGCGGGGGTCATGCACGGAGTAGCGATCGTGACAGCGAAAGAGGATATGCTGGTGAGACTGCAAAGCAGCCCCACAAGTGCAGCCATGAGGCTCATTAATCTTGAAGCGATGGTAATACGCTCCAATGGGCACGTGGCCAGTTATACACCGGCAAATGCAAGCGAACTCAGTGACACTGTGTCCAAAGGTTGAAAGCCAAGGTCCCCCACTGAGGTACGATGGCTGTAGCGGCCGCCCGTCAGGCTGTTGAAGCTCTAGGAATTCAGAGCCTCGGTAGGTTGGATCCTGGAAAGTGGAACCCCATGAGTCCAGGACTGAGTGCGCAGCTCGAGAGCGAAGCGCATCTATAGAATTGTCTGTCTTCCGATGTTCAACCCTGACTTTAAGCTTGGTGACGTACTTATGTGCCACACCATGGATATCCCACTGCAGAGCGGACGGGACGTAAATGAAGGTGATGCGGCAGAGGTCATCTGCTTCGAACCACTCTTGGAGAGCGCGACAAACTGACAGGCTAAAAGCCTGACCAGAATGCACGCCGGGGTCAACCGCTCTATGGGCTGAGCCCATAGAGTCAGTGAAGACCATAATATGTTGGCAGTTTGCCTGCTTGACAGCAAGGCGCACTGCGCACAAGATGGCATTGAGTTCCGCATCTGGGGCAGTAACTCTGCCAGAGACATAATGAGTCCTGTCGAGCTCACGATGTCCCTTGTAGATGATGGCAGCCAAAGCTGCCTGATACTGATTGGACTGAGGGACAGAGCCATCAGTTGCAGCCAGTACTGTTAGTGGGTCGGCCCTCGCTCTCGCAATGAGCTCGTCTAGATATGGGCGCCTATCCTGAGTGGGATCACGCTCGTCAAAGTGGAGACGGTCCGCATAGTGGTCCAGTAACCGATCGCCTGGGCGAGCTTTGGGCGCAAAGCACTCAAAGCTCTCAGTTAAGGTGTGGACACATTTGTCCACCTCCATAACGGTGCTCTTGACTTTCCCTTGCATAGCTGGGGTCATCAAGGCGGCTGAGCGGGCGTGTGGTGCGGCCCGCTTAAGGAGTCCCTCGCCCATCATGGAGCGAAGAGGGTGAGTGTCTGAGAGGGTGGCGACACGATACACTGCGCGTGTCGCCAGCTTCTTCAGCATGAGGTGAATGGGGATGAGGCCAGCGAGGGCCTCAAGACCGCCTGTGGGTGAGGTGCGGAAGGCACCAGTAATCCATAGAGCAGCTTTTCGCTGCATCCGTTTTAGCTGGTTCATCGAGCCCTTATTACAGGTGCCGTCGAAATACCAGAGACGATAGCCATATGTGGCAATGGGAACTACACACGGCGAATATAAGAGGCGGCGCTGTTTAGGCGAGAGACCTCTAGTGGAGTTCCCAAGCATGCGCATGGCCTGCACGGTGGTGAACGCCTTAGTGGCATAGTAGCGGACGTGTTCATGAAACGTGAGCCCACGGTCAAAGTAGAAGCCCAAGTACCTCCAATAGGTCTTGGGCTTCAAAGGAGTAGCGCCAGTATGCGGGGCGTACCCCAAATCCAGCGAGGGATTGTAGGCGTCTCATCGACACGAAAAGTGAAACAGCTCAGTCTTGTCATGTTCAAGAACGAGTGTGAAAGCAACAAAGAGAAGGTAGATAATCTTGTAGGCCTTACGCAGGCCCACATTATTATCATCAAGTTGTTTGGATTGGGCCAGGATGGTCCTGTCATCCACAAAGGAAAGCAGCATTGTGTTGAGCGGCGCCGCCTTGATATAGAAGAGCTTCATTACCGGAGCAATGAACAGCCCAGAGATAACAGGCAAGAGAGCCGAGCCCTGCCCGACACCCACGTCCGCAGACCGCAGGTCAGATTGGAAGGTGTTCCAACAATAAATTGTGGAACGACCAATAAGATAGGCAGCAAAGAACTCCACCAGAACCGGCGAGAACCCCTGCTTGCGAAGAACAGCCATGAACATCTCATGGTTGATAGAAGGGAAAAACTGCACAATGTCAAAAGCCAGCGCGCTAGTCTGGAGACCCTTAACCCACCCTGCTCGCACGAGATGAGTCAGAATCAATGCAGCATCCTCAGTGGACCTCTGGCAGATACCGCCAAGTTGGTTGGGATGGAAGATATCATGCTTGACGGCGTCAAACTGTATCCTATTGGCAATCATCTTTTCGATAAGTTTACTGAAAGTGATGAGGAGTACGATCGGCCTGAAGGCCTTCGGTATGGCATAGGAGGGCTTGTTCAGTTTTGGAATGATAACCGATAGCAACTCCTTGAATATACGCGGCCAATGACCCACCCGAAGGCAAGCGTTGGCCAGCACGATGAAGAGCGCAAGGACATGTTTATCCTTGAGCAACTCCTTTAGGTGGACCCATGTAACGTGGTCCGGTCCTGGTGCAGAGGAGTTGGAGCACCCCTTAAGGGCACTCAACAACTCATGCTCCAAGAAGTCAGCCCACTCACAGACTGGCTCATCGGGAAGCTCGTCTAAGACGGAGGCATCATACTCACGACCCGAGGCTGCGTTGTATGTGCCATGAAGGGTGTTCCACAGGTCGTCCATATCATGACAAGGCTGGTAGCTTGCATTGTTTGACCCACTCCATCAGGACCCATGGGCGCTTGCGAGAGGTAGCGATTTCCGTGATGCGTTCATCAAAGAAATCACGCTTGGCATCTTTACACGCCTTCTTAAACTTGTTGTAGTCAGCGAGCGAGCGGCTCAACTGATATACTCCAAATGTCTCCGAGCACTCTTCTGTCCACCAGGACTTGGAGCGCTTGGTAGGTTTGGACTCGGTCGAATGGGCAAGCCATGCGTCCAAGAACACTGTCGCAATAGCATCGGCTAAAGCTTCAACGCCTTCCTTGGTTGCCGGGGCTGCAACAGGAATAGCCGCAAGATCCCGGAGAATGTCCGAAATGAAAGACTTCTCAGCCTCGCTTCCAGGTTTAATTGTCCGTCACCCAGATCCGGGCGGTTCGGGACCGATATCAAGATCTGTACAGATCGGGACATGATCTGACGGACCCTGGAGAGTGTGCTCCAATCTGGGCATCAAGATTAGAATCTCAGATGGAGCTAAGAATACAAGATCCAACACGTTGGATCTCTGGTTTGGATTAGGACTGATCCTCATCGGTCCATGATTAGAAGGTCGTGCCCACTCGAGGCTGATCTGAGATGCGGTATCCCGCAGTGATATTGCCGTCGACGACTCGCCATGCTCATAGTCATCCCACTTCATCGACACGCAGTTGAAGTCACCAGCCATATAAATGAAAGGTGGTAAAGAATGCACACTAGCAGCAAGGTGCTCAATGGCTGTGTGTTGATCGTCGGAATAGACGTTCATTAAGTTAAGAACCTCGCCCCTGCTAAAGAGGGAGAGGACGAGGATGTCGCGATGGTTGACGATGTCGCGACGCATAGTGGGACGATAGCGGGAGAGCCTAGTCGAAACATAGGCAAGCACGCGGGGAACTTCCCCTTCCTTAATGTGCACCATCTGCAGCCAATCAGGATGCTTTGGTGCGCCGATAACCTCATCGCCCTCCATACTAGTGGTAGACAGTGCGTGTCTTATGAAATTCCAAGGCGTTTCTTGGAAAAATAAAATATCGAATTTTTTTTTACAAATTTCTAGAAGAGTATTGATGTGTGCATACGTATGACGAACGTTCTGACAAAAGATACGAGGCCCACTACTTAGATCCTGATGGTTTCCCAACATTAGTCTAGGTTTGGGGGTTAGTAAGTTGGCGGCGAGCGGTGTGCTTACGTACCTGACGATACTCGGCCATGATCCACTCACGGTCGTAGCGATGGGCCCAGAACTTGCACGATGCCGAGTTGGCAGCGTGGTCCTTGTGGCAATTGACACAGCGGCCCTTGTGGGGGCAAGGCTGGTCACGAGGGGTGGGCGGCACAGGGGGTTTCGCTTTCGCGTTGCCCTTGCAACATCCCGCATGTTGACGGTGCTCCTTCTGCTCATGCGGACCCGAGCAGATAGGGCAAGAGAGTTGTTTCACCCTGCAGGCAACGGTAGGATGGCCCCACTTCCAGCAGCAGCAGAGCGGGACCCTGGTGTGTCACGCGGCGGGCCTGATTGCGCAGGACCGCCCAGCAAGGAAGATCAGTTGGCCTAAGGCCTTCTTGGTGCGGGTTCCCTGCTGGGAGTCCCAGATGTTGCAATACACGGTGCACGATGTCAAGTGCGCCGAGTTGCGGTCAATCCGAGGCTTGGTGCTCAGATAGGCGAAGACCTCAGCGTGAACCGAGGTACGGAGGGCCTTTTCAAGCGCCTCCTGGGTGATCTTCAACCCTTTCAGATCGAAGTAGGGAACATCGAGGATCTTTATGAAAGATGTCGACGACGGAAGCGCAACCTCGAACGGAGTACCCGTTGGGAGGCTTTCACGGATGAAGTTGCACAGTATGTCCAGGTCAGACGAGCTGGCAACAGCGGGGGTGACCAACGACAAACCGTCGTAGGCGTGGACGATGGAGGTGACCTTTAGCATAGATTGACCATCCCTTAGGTACCCGTTGGCTGCACGGACAGCCGACTCGGTGAAGAATTTCGTGAGGTCGGGGGGGTACCCCCGAGCGACACGAGAACCTGCTTCCGGGTGGGGCCCTTGGAAGTAAAAGAGGGAACGGACCGATGAGGTGAAGTCTTCATCGGGCCTGTTGGAAATGCGGACGGAGGAGGAGAAGGCCCACGAAGCTGCGGTCCCAAGCCAGGAGGCGGGGGAGGCATCGGAGCGGCCTGTTGTGCAATCCCTGCCCACGTTGTTGGACGGGGCTTGGGTTTGGTAGTGCGGTTGATCGGCAGGGGCAGACCAGGGCAAGAGTAGGCCACCTTGCTCTTCTGAGGAGGAGGTGGTGGGACCGGGCGATCAACACCCTTACGCTTCTTGGAAGCGGGGATGCGAGGCGGGGAGGCTGGGCGACCAAGGTTGTCCAAAGCCTGCATGAGGACATCGGGTGGAGCCCCTACATCAGCGACACCCTCATCGAGCGGCCCACAGGCAGCAGGAGGAGGAGGCCTGAATACAGGAGCCGGGTGGATGGTCAGCTTGTCCTTGGAAGACATCTCAGCCTCGAGGAGAGAGGTGAGCGAGAAGTTATCGAGTTCGCCTGGCCCACGAATACGACTAAAGTCAGTGACCATGACAGCGTTCACGAAGGACGTCATCTGGGCCACGAAGGCATCGCCACCATCGATGGTGAGCAGATTGTGGTGCGCGGCCCGCAGAACCCAGTCTGTGGCCTTCGCAATGGAGGTGGTCAATACCTCGAGATTGCCAGGAAGATCCTCGACTGTGTCTCGGAACTTCAAGGCGTATTGACCTAGAAGTAGGTCGACGGAGGGGTCCCTCGAGACCTCCTCCCCTCCCTGAGTGCCCTCTACCTCCATCTCCTGGGGGTGGGCCATCCCTGAGCTAGACTCATCTGCGGACAAATGGGCGGAACCCGTGGTGGAACGGGACCTGCAGCAGGGTGATGTGTGGCGGGATCAAGCTGGCACAACCATCGAGTATGTGGCCCTAGTCGAGGTAGGGTCTGGCGAGATTGGCAAGGCATCACCACCAAAAGACGATGAGCCAGCGACCGATGGTGGTATTGCTGGTGGTGCGCAGCCCGAGTCCCCCCCACAACAGCTCCTAGGAACCGCCCCAGGGGGCCTCACGCCCTGACCTCTCGGTGGGAGGTCGGACATGGTTTGCGAATGCGGTATGAAAGATCAAAAGAGGTCTTCTGGCTTGTCGATAAAGCGCTAGACGATGTGAGAGACAGTGAGCTGGTTGTTTGTGCTTGTTGACAAGTGGGCGTTCAAGAGAAAGAGGAACATCGATTCACCCATCCCTTCAAGACCCTTTTCTAAAGCACACTCAGAATAAGCCTCTTAGATACATGGGTCCACCTGAAGGAGCTGCTCAAGGATAAACATGTCCTTGTGCTCTTCATCATGCTGGCCAACGCTTGCCTATGGGTGAGTCATTGGCCACACATTTTTAAGGAGTCGCTGTCGGTTATCGTTCTGAAACTGAATAAGCCCTGATGGAGGTAGAGGGCACTCAGGGAGGGGAGGAGGTCTCGAGGGACCCCTCCGTCGACCTACTTCTAGGTCAATACGCCTTGAAGTTCCGAGACACAGTCGAGGATCTTCCTGGCAATCTCGAGGTATTGACCACCTCCATTGCGAAGGCCACAGACTGGGTTCTGCGGGCCGCGCACCACAATCTGCTCACCATCGATGATGCCTTCGTGGCCCAGATGACGTCCTTCGTGAACGCTGTCATGGTCACTGACTTTAGTCGTATTCGTGGGCCAGGCGAACTCGACAACTTCTCGCTCACCTCTCTCCTCGAGGCTGAGATGTCTTCCAAGGGNNNAACATCGAAAGGCCCATTGCATAACCAATAATGCATGCAAGGCCATTATTATTGGCTCATTCTGAAGCTCTAGTAGCATACTAAATTATCAGCTAGTTTTTATGAGGCAGGGATGCATGAGAGGCAGAGCATTAGGTGCGCATTTTCGCATTTTTGTGCATAGAAGCACAGTTTAGGCCATAACATCGCCAAAAATGGTCATATTCACACGTTCTGGGTGTCTACAGGTAGATATGAATTCCCTCAAAATTATCGCGTCATCGTTCCCATCAATTTCCACCCAGGGGGAAGCCAAACAAGCCCGAAATGCGCCAGCAATGGCTATTTTGATGCCAGATCCCAATTTAGCAGCTTGTGTTAAAAATAAATGTGTGCCAAGTTAAGGTGACACCTCATACATGCCGTTTTGCAACATTCCACATGCCAGATTCTCCTGATTTTTTTATGACATACAGTAACATACTATCACATTGGCCCTGGGCACTTTTTTCACAAAAAATGGCCCCGGTTGAGGCTGCAGAGCAAACAGGTCACATGACCAGTTCTCTGCAGTGCCCCGGGGTCCTGCTTGGCCTATCCTGCCCCCATTCCACCCCCTCCTGCACCTCCCACCACCCACCCACCCCGGAAATGGATGCTTACTAATTTATTTACCCCCTCCTCATCACCCTTGCAGATGCCGGGCACCCAGCAACCCCTCCCTCTTATTAGGAGAGCCTTTCCAAAGCAGAAGGTAGCATATTGCCCTCCAGGGCTTAGATTCATAGTTAGGAAACTGCCTTGTATTTCTATATTTTTCTAACTGATACAGGTGTGAGAAGGCCCTCCGTACCTCGGTTCATGCTGAGGTCTTCGCATATCTGAGCACCAAGCCTCGGATCGATCGCAACTCGGCGCACTCGACATTGTGCACCGTCTACTGCAACATCTGGGACTCCCAGCAGGGAACCCGTGCCAAGAAGGCCCTTGGCCAACCAATCTTCCTCACCGGGCGGTCCTGCGCAATCAGGCCTGCTGCAAGACACACTGGGGTCCTGCTCTGCCAGTGCTGCTGGAAGTGGGACCACCCTACCATTGCCTGCAAGGCGAAGCAGCTTAGCTGCCCTATCTGCTTGGGTCCACATGAGCAGAAGGAACATCATCAACGT